AACGCCCAAAAAGCCTTTTCAGCGAAAATTAATTCCAGCGAAAATAAAGTATTCCACAGTATTTCAGTTTGTGTATTCAGGAGTGACACCATGCCTGATAGCTATCTAATGCAAACACTAATTTCTGTCCATACTTCAAAACAAGATTAATTATATAGGAATAATGATTGTCACTGAGGTGGCCTTATTTGACCTATATATACAATCATTTATATCTTTATCATGTGTTTTATGAATGGCCATTTTCAAGGATACTATTATGATGCTCAAGCAAGGTTACTTCCTGTGATGAAGTACTTTAAAACATCAATGAAATAAAATGCTCTATTCAAATTATTTTCAAAAACGTAACTTTTGTAATTAAACTTTCTCTTTCGGACAAGGACCAATGATATTTTTATTTGAAATATGTTGTACATGTAATTGACTAATTTGTCAGCTGTTCTAAAACCATCCCAGACCCTTAAGTTGTTTGTATTTTAGTTTTACATGTTAAACAAGAGCTCAAACTTACTTGTTGTCAAACCTAAGTTATCCTGCACAAATTAAAATATGTGTAAATCACTTGAATATCACGGCTAGAAATTTCAGGATTTTTTTCGTAAAGATGAAATTTTTCAAAAAAAGTCAGTGACATTTGAATTTTCACTGCTATACAATTTGTGGTGACTTGTGAATTCATGAAAATTTGTTTCTCATGACATTAAGCAGCCTTATACAGTATTTATCTGTGTTCAAATAAACCCAATAAACTATTTTACATTACTGTAAAATGACTAATTTTCGCTGGGTTTAAGTTTCGCTGATTTACCATTTCAGGCATATTTAGTGGGTTTTAAATTCACGGTTTTATCATTTAGATAATGTGTTCTATGCTAAATTTTACATATTCAATGGGTTTTAATTTAGCACATTTTCCAGTCAGCGAAATAAGCAAAATTAAAACCCAGTGAATAATTAACCCCTTTACATTATAATGAACTACAAGATTTGAAACTGGTAGTCACCTAGGCCTCTAAAAATATTATTTACATCTATATGGTGCACACTAAAATTAATAAAAAATAAACTTCATCACAAAATTTTGTCACTTTTAGCAGTGTTATGAGTCATTCCATAACAGTTCATTCAAATGGTACCCATATCCCTGTTGTAAAGGTTTTACTTTATTGGTTGTGGTTTTCTTTATGAATGATTAGATTGTTGCCCTTTTGTTGAAGGTAATATTAGAGATATTTTTTTTTATAAAAAATATAAAATTATGAATAGTTTTTGTGGTTCACATTTTTCACTGTAAACCAAGGGTAATCAAGGCATTTTTTTTGTGGTGTGTTTGGCAAGTCCCTTGTGACAAATTGAATTGTGTAAAACAAAATGTTTGTTTACACAAAACTATGTCTGAACTGACTGTTGCATTATAAAAAATTAGTAAAATATAGTGTAAATCAAATTATTTCAGAATTATTATTTTATGTAATATATGACTAATGTTTAATTTTGTTTTATTTGACAGTCGTCAGAATGGGTACGTGTGCGAGTACAAGAAATGACTCCTGTCATGGTGGAAGTTGGCCACAACTTAGACGAGGCCCTCCGCCTACGACAGCAACATCAGGATTTGCTGCATCAGCTTACGGTATGTACATATAATTCTTGACATGTGTAGTCCTTGTATTCAGACAGTTGCCTTTAAGTACAGTGGCCCGATATTACCGATCTCTGTATCCTGGGATACTAACCTCAAGTAGTCAAGTAAATTTTGAAACTTTAGTCATGTCAAAATCTGTTTTTGACAGATTTTGACAGCTTTTGTTTTTTTACTGTGAATTTCGTGAAGGCATGAATGTTTTTTAGATTTATGTTCTATAAATTTCAAATAATGGTTGAAAACAACCTATCACAATGTGCTAAAAGATGCATGGCAGTAAACTGGCCATTGATTGAGAAAACTTTGTTGAACAATAGGTGTTACCAAATGGCTTCTACACCCAATAAAAGCATATTTTTTGGATTTGAATAATACACAAGATTCTTTACGGATAGATGTTTTATAAATATTTTACAAATTTCTATAAAAATACTTGTGCTTTCCTGAAATTCACTGTAACATAAATTGCATACGCATCAAATTCTGCTATCCAAAATCCCAAATGTTAATATCCTCTTTTTAAGTGGAGATCCTATCTATGGCAATCAAATTATGTGCTCTCAATTCCTCTGCACTTTCTCACTGGGCCTTGCTACCTACTGTAAAATACTTTATTTTCAGTTGGAATTAATTTTTGCTAAAGTGAAGGAATGTTTCAGTGAAAATAAAATCCAGCGAATATACTTTTTTTCCACTACCGGTACTTTACATTCAACTCATCAAAAATCAGTGGAAATAAATTCCATACAAGTCGCCTGAAAAGTGTTTTGTGCAGCGAAAATTAATTCCAGCTAAAATAAAGTGTAACTAGCATAGTCCTAGAATTTGTTCAGTTATTACCGTTTCAAAATTACTTGCCGAAAACACATTGAAAAACCTAAATAGCTGATGTTTGAAGATACTATAATCTTAACTTAAAAATACTTGCTACCCCATAGTCATTGGCCCAGCATCCTATGGTGAAGAATGAGAAGTTTTTGAAAACTTTTTTAAGAAAAATTATATTTTACACAATATACAAAGTGCTATGGGCATTTAATAAGTCTATCATTGACTCCTCCTAAAATAGAATATACATAGTCTGCAGAAGTTAAAATTAGATGTGGTTCTACTTAAAATCACTTGGTAACGCCCCTTCTGGTGCCTCTGTGGTTGGATGACTCATAGCATTGCTATCAGAGTATGTCTTGATACGTGCAGCTGAGCTTGTAGAGGTTTGAAAGATGACCAGACCTTCAGAGATTCAATGTTTGTTCATTTTGTCTGCTGTTTAGATGTTCGGAATTGAGTGATGAATTATTTGATGGAAACAGCTGTGCGGATTTTGTTCTTGCAGTTGTTAGAATGTGTTGGTCTGGTCTGAGTTCCAGCTCTTTATTTGAAAAAATAGCTTCACATCATTCTCCAGGATGTTTCTTTTGCTTTTCCCCAAATGCAGTGCCCACATGCAATGCTCTATTGGGGTGTTGGATGAGATTTGACTATAACGTACATAGCAATTTGAACATTCTTATTTTTAAATACCATCAGAGCATATAAAGCTTGCAATAGCATATTTGCTCTATCAGACCTTGCTTTCAACAGGCGAATGATCACTCCACTCGCCTACCAACTGGATGCCATTTTCCCAAGCCAACACCATTGCTTGCCCAAATCAAGAGCTAAAAATACGAGTGATAACTCCACTCGCCTATCAACTGAATGCCATTATCCCAAGCCAACACCATTACTTGCCCAAATCAAGAGCTAAAAATACGAGTGATCACTCCACTCACCTGGATGCCATTTTCCCAAGCAAACACCATTGCTTGCCCAAATCAAGAGCTAAAAATACGAGTGATCACTCCACTCGCCTACCAACTGGATACCATTTTCCCAAGCCAACACCATTGCTTGCCCAAATCAAGAGCTAAAAATACGAGTGATCACTCCACTCACCTGGATGCCATTTTCCCAAGCCCACACCATTGCTTGCCCAAATCAAGAGCTAAAAATACGAGTGATCACTCCACTTGCCTACCAACTAGATGCTATTTTCCCAAGCCAACACCATTGCTTGCCCAAATCAAGAGCTAAAAATACGAGTGATCACACCACTCGCCTACAAACTAGATGCTATTTTCCTTGCACCATTGCACCAACACCATTGCTTGCCCAAATCAAGAGCTAAAAATACGAGTGATCACTCCACTCACCTGGATGCCATTTTCCCAAGTCAACACCATTGCTTGCCCAAATCAAGAGCTAAAAATACGAGTGATCACTCCACTTGCCTACCAACTAGATGCTATTTTCCCAAGCCAACACCATTGCTTGCCCAAATCAAGAGCTAAAAATACGAGTGATCACACCACTCATCTACCAACTAGATGCTATTTTCCCAAGCCAACACCATTGCTTGCTCAAATCAAGAGCTGAAAATACGATTGATCACTCCACTCACCTATCAACTGGATGCCATTTTCCCAAGCCCACACCATTGCTTGCCCAAATCAAGAGCTAAAAATACGAGTGATCACTCCACTCGCCTACCAACTGGATACCATTTTCCCAAGCCAACACCATTGCTTGCCCAAATCAAGAGCTAAAAATATGAGTGATCACTCCAGTCACCTGGATGCCATTTTCCCAAGCCCACACCATTGCTTGCCCAAATCAAGAGCTAAAAATACGAGTGATCACTCCAGTCACCTGGATGCCATTTTCCCAAGCAAACACCATTGCTTGCCTAAATCAAGAGCTGAAAATACGAGTGATCACTCCACTCGCCTACCAACTGGATGCCATTTTCCCAAGCCCACACCATTGCTTGCCCAAATCAAGAGCTAAAATTACGAGTGATCACTCCACTCTCCTGGATGCCATTTTCCCAAGCCCACACCATTGCTTGCCCAAATCAAGAGTTAAAAATACGAGTGATCACTCCACTCACCTGGATGCCATTTTCCCAAGCAAACACCATTGCTTACCCAAATCAAGAGCTAAAAATACGAGTGATCATTCCACTCGCCTGGATGCCATTTTCCCAAGCCAACACCATTGCTTGCCCAAATTAAGAGCTAAAAATACGAGTGATCACTCCACTCACCTGGATGCCATTTTCCCAAGCCAACACCATTGCTTGCCCAAATCAAGAGCTAAAAATACGAGTGATCACTCCACTCACCTGGATGCCATTTTCCCAAGCCAACACCATTGCTTGCCCAAATCAAGAGCTAATTATCACCATTCCAATCCGTACCATTTGAAGTTATTTATTTTTCATTGTTCAGGGGAGCCTTTTTTAGCTTCCATGTCATGTTGGTAAATTTGGTATGGCGACTTTAAAGGTCATTCAATATTAAAGTCTTGTTAGATGTGAAGTTTTTGGTCAGTGTTCAAAGTGGGGTCTGATTGAATTCATAACTCTGGCACATTTGAAATATTGATAAACTTCTAATCAGGATGCATGATACATTTACACAGAATAATCATGTTTGTTTTAGTAAGGTGCTGTGTAATAATTGGTTGACAAACACTACTGGTACCAGATGTGATTTGTCAAATGTGGTTTTAGAGATGACAGATTAGAACCCAACAGAATTAAATTTGAGAGAGAAAACAGAGATTGCAAAATAATGCCAATTATCAGCCTGTGACTGGTTCCTCTCTCACTTACCCAAATTTGGGATAATAATGTTAATTTAAAAATTTCAACTCCATCAATAATTGCAGGAGATGTAATTATTGGGCCATCTTGGTGTAAAATCATTCACTTGGCAAATTTTATTATTAGAAGCAGGGTTAAATCTGGGCTCTCACAGGATTGTTTAAAGTAATAGTAAAATTCATAATTGAAATAAATTCAAGAAATAGCAAACATTTTCTATATACATTCTAATGTTCTAATATTCTGAGTTGTCGTATCTTTGATGTCATATACCCTACCATAATAACCAGATTATGACATATCACCATGGAAATTCTATACAACATTGGCTAATTCAATACAGCTGTGGTACAAATCATACAACTTTTCTTGCATATTCACTCCAGCATGTTGAAACTAGTTGTCAGAAAATATGTATATGTTGGCATAGAGGCAAGATAACATCTATGTTGTAACTAAAATGCCCCTTTTTTTTCGTTGCCCTTTTCTTTTCATGGACTGACATGTACATCTATGTTGCTTATACATGTATTAGAGTTTTGTATACTTTAAACCAAAACAACATTTTTGGCTTATATTCTACCAGGGTAAATGCAATAATTATTTGCTAGTTTTTAATTTCGCTATTTTTGACGATAAGTAAAATCTTCTAAATTAAGTTACATGAACTTGTAAAATAACAATAGAACTCATTATTTCCCTGTCAAGTTTGTGAACTTAAAACCCAGTAAAATCACTCAAAACACAAAAATTGTGAAATTAAATGTCAGTGAAGATAAAAAAATTTACATATGTGCTTCTATTGAAAGTGGCTTGTAAATGTGCAAATTTGATAACTTTTTTGATGAGTATTGGTAAATGTCAGGTTTAAACACTTCAAAGCTATGCCATGAATGTGAAGGATGCACAGATAGGGTGAACAGCATGGATCATATATATTGGGTAATTCACTCAGTTGGAAATATATGTGACTTCCTATAAAGGTTGACCCAGTAGGGGAGAAATTGAACTTATAATTGAGTTCACTGACATATACATAGTGACACTATGATGCAATGGCATTGTCAGATATTTATAAGATTTACATTTGACATTTCAATGACATCTCGCTCAGATTTCCAACTTCCCTTATCATGGTATTTGTTGACTTCAGTTGTATTTATATGCAATTAATTGTTTATAACACCGTCCCTCAAAACTAGGGACGGTGTTTATATACATCGATATGTCAAATCAAAATTTGATTATCAAGATAAGCAATTCCTTTATTCAGAATGATTGAGATAGGGGATACTGTAAACACAAATATTTTTTTTTCATTATTTCTTGAATCAGTGAA